CTATAGATTTATGGTAGAATATTTGCATGGTGGGACAAGTTTCTCTGTCCCTGGACCTTTGATGTTTTACTCAATCCTTCCTTCTGGTGGAGAGGGGAACTTTAAGCATAAAGTAATATCAAAGTTAGGCTGTGAGAAGTAGTCAATATTGGCAAGAGGGAGCCAGTATTGTCTTTCTTATTGTGGTTCTACTCTAAAGAATTTAAAGCTGTGGGAAAGAAGATTTGCCAGCATGGCAACCATGGAGACCAAAGTAGGTACCCTGGTCAAGAGCAGTGGAAAAGGAAGAAGGGAGGGAAGGCAAGGCTTCATGTGAGCAGACCTCACTACAAAAGGGGAACTATAAAATCATTTTGACATCCTCTATGCTCTGAGATTCACCTTGAATAAGACTGGGCTTGTTTTGGTGAAGGACTGTGTCTACACACCTCACTATGAAATGCAACAGGGTTCTAGTTGCTTTTATGACATGTTGGTAAGGGCCATGATATGATATATGGAGATGTTGAGCCCTTGGTCAGGAATGCATAATAATAATGAAAATTATTCACTATCATTCATTTACCACCTACTATGTGCTAAAAACCATCCTAGCTGTGTAGCCTGACCGAAATCTCATAGGGCAGTGGTGTCCAGACCAGAACCCAGGTCACAGGGCTGCCATGTCAGAGCTCTTTCCATTGTACTAGATTGTCTAGTGTTTGTAATCTAGTATGGAGGTGTGTGTGTATGTGGAAATGGAAAAGGTGCCAAGACTCCAAAGAATGGATCTTAGGTGGTAGAATTTTATGCATGTGAGAAGACTGGGACTTTATCCAACTTTCTGAAAAATAGTGCCAGCTAAGAAGGCTGCTCTGCCCGGGTTAAGGATATGCTGTGGAATGTGGTTGTTGGGAAGATTCAGGTGACAAATGGTAAAGAGCCTGGCACACAGTGTGATTAATAAATGAACCAATATATAATAAATTAATAAAATATGAGCTCTAGAAGGCCTCTCACACTGCATATTTGAAGCCCTCCTTCTCTACTGCCCCACCCCATGAAAGCCACTAAACACAGTATTTATCACCATTTGAGAGACTATGGAGAGCATGATCATCTTTCTTGAGAATCCTGGGGGCAGGTTTGGAAGCCCAGGGGGCAGATTTGTGGCTATTTCTGCCAGGTTCAAGGCATTCATCAGGTAGGTCCTGGACAACCTTGCTCAGTCCTAAATTTCTATTTTTCACTAGTGATATTCTCACCCAGGGCTGGGGCAGGAAGCTTGCTTCCAGGTGTAGCTTTCCAATCCCAGACCATAGAGGGTTAGAGACCTGTTCTGGCTCCCAGCCTCTGACTCTGCTTCCTGCCCAATCATTAAAAACCTCTTCACTTCAGGTGTATTTAAGACTCACATCATGAAGGCTTCATAGTTTCAACTCCCACCTACTGCACTATTTAAAGTCTTCTTTGCTTCTGGTTCCTGGGAATTTCCCTTTCTTGTTTGTATGCATATTAAAGTGAAATCTTGTTGAGAATGTTCAGTTCAGGCCCCTCACTGAATGACCCCAGGGCCACTGGAAGCTTAGGCAACCAATCCTGGACTTGTTTGAATCCAGACTTCTGTAAATCAGAGACAGGAAAGGAAAGAATTTACACTCTGCCCCATGGGCCAAGTTCTTTCGACTTCTAATAGAGAGACCTGCTGAACTCACACCTGAATGAGGCAACATGAATCTCCCAGGTAAACAACAAGTCTAGCTTTGTTTCAGACCACATTTGGTCATCTTTGTTTCTTAGTGTTGTCTACAACATATGCTTTCTGTATATTTGGAGCAGAATTTGGGGTAGGGTTTGCTAACATGTGCTAAGTCTGCCACCTTATCTAGACGTCTGGGTAATACTACAGCATTTACAATGTTGGCTCACATTGTAATACTCCACAAAGACCCTGAAGGTCAGGGGAATACAGCCACAAGTAATTGAACAAGGAGTGCCCAAAGCATCTTTTCTAAGATATAGAAAGGCCCTCGGTGGCCCTGGCCAAGGACATTGTTTGCTCTTCAACCCAAAGTCACGGAGGCAGAAGGGCCACTTTCTGTGTAGTCAGGAATCAGGTTTCCCCCATCAGCAACCATATGCATTTGGGAACATTCATCAGCTAAAGAACTCGCTGAGCTGGAAAAAGAGACTTTCACAGGATAGCTCAAAATATTTTTTAAACTTATGGAAAAGTGGTAGTGACTTTCTTCATGTGCCAGCTGCTGACAAGCATTTTTGTTTAAAGATATACCAGGTGGAAAATAAAATGTTTCAAGGAAACTTTCAGTGGATAAAAGCTGGCTGTTCCAGGTGTCACTTGAAACAGAAGTCACCCTCAGTAAAAGGGGGGCACCAGCAGTGACTACTCCAATATTCATTCTCAAGCCTATTCCATGCAGGCTCTTCTTCTCAAGAAATTCAGCAATCCCCTTAAAATGGTGTGTGGCTGATATCTACATTAGTTTCCTAGTCTTGAAAAATGCTCTGTCTATGAAATATGCATTGAGGCGAGGCAGGTCCTCTATCCAGTTTGTGCCCCTAACTTGGGCCTGATAGCACCCTTCTGTATGGAATTGTGTTTTCATTACAATAATAATAATGCAATATACCACACACATATGTTTTGCTCTTCCTCAGAGTAAAAACTAAAATCTTGTGGACCCCTAACATTTGTGGGGCCCAATGCAAGGGCACCAGTGGAGGCCTACTTATCAGATATCAAAGTATTTAAAAGGTATAAATCATGCTAACAAACTGTTAAATAAGTTGCATCTCTCTACATTTACATATATGCATTCATAACATCCCAGAAGGGCCAAATTTGAGTTTATAATTTTCAGATCTCTTGAAGTTCCATGCTGGAATGAGGTGACCAGTGGAGAGTGGACCCTCCCTTCCAACCTATGGCCCACCTCCCCACCTCTTCCCACGCCAGTCTAGTCTGTTTTGTGAGGGACCTTGTCCACTAGTGTATTAGTCTCCTTGGGTTGCCATAACAAAATACCACAGACTGGGGGATTAAATAATTTATTCTTATAGTGCTGGAGGTTGGAGGTCCCAGATCTAGATGCCAGCTAATTTGGTTCATGCCTTGCAGATGGCTGCCTTCTTGCTGTATACACACACGGCCTTTCCTCTGTGGCACAGGGAGAGTGGGAACTCTCTTGTCTCTTTCTCTACTTCGAAGAACACCAGCTCTATTGGATTAAGGCCTACCCTTATGACCTTACTTAATCTTTTTTTAAAAAAGATTTTATTTATTTATTTGACAGAGGGAGAGATAGAGATAGAGATAGAGATGGAGATAGAGAAAGAGAGAGAGAGAGAGAGACTGAGAGAGCATAAGCAGGGGGGAGTGGCAGGCAGAGGGAGAGGGAGAAGCAGGCTCCCCAAGGAGCGGGGACCCCAACGTGGGACTTTGGGATCATGACCTGAGCCGAAGGCAGATGCTTAACGGCCTGAGCCACCCAGGTGCCCCGGCCTCACTTAATCTTTACTACCTCTGAAGGGCCCTGTCTTCAAATACAGTCACATTGGAGGTTAGGGCCTCAACATATGAATTTGAGGGGGATACAACACAGTTCATAACACCAAGCTTGCAGACATTCCAGCCTGGATATCTAAGATCTATTTACATAGCTTGTCAGCAGTCAATTTTTGGCCCCCCATTGGGCCTTGAGGTGCTCATATCAGCAACATGGTCTACTCAGAAAGATTAACCCCAAGAAAAAGGCTGTAGCCTGGAAAATGGACTAAGGAATTTTTGGACATGGATTTTTGAGGTCCTGGAACTTGAATTGGATCAGTCCCATGCAGTGATGGAAACATTCTATGTTTGGACTGTCCAGTATGGTAGTCACTGGCCACTTGTGGCTACTGAGTACTCAAAATGGGGTTGCTATGACTGAGGAGTTGAACTTTAAATTTTATTTAACCTTAATTTAAATTTAAATTGCTACATCTGCTGGTGGCTACCATACTGTTCAGTGCAGATCTAGAAGTTGGGAAGCAGGCTCTGTGCAATCATGTCCTCTGACTCCACAGACTTCTTATCCTGTGGGTATGTAGCAGACTGTATTTCTATATATGGCCAAACCTACATATTTATCCCATCCCACATGCATTTCTTAAAATATGAGTGATACACGTTTTTACCAAGACCTGTTTCCCCTAGGCAGGTGATTGTGACTGCTTAGAAATGGTAGAAATGATAATATGTGACTTCTTTCCCGCCCCCCCACCTCCCTTCCCTCTAAAACCCTGTTTCTCAGAATCCATAGTCTCTCATGGTTCATCTCCCCCTCCAATTTCCACCCCCCCCCTTCATTTTTCCCTTCCTACTATCTTTTTTTTTTTTTTTTAACATATAATGTATTATTTGTTTCAGAGGTACAGGGATAATATGTGACTTCTAAAGTTAGGTCATAAAAATGGCACAGCTTCTGGCCAACTCTTGCTTGTGCTCACACTTTCTCTCTCTCTCTCTCTCTCTCTCTCTCTCACACACACACACACACACACACACACACACTTTCTCTCAGAACTTTTTGCTTTTAAAACTATGGAAATAAAGACTGCCCAAATGAGAACAAGCAAAGGGAACTTAACTCAGAGCTTATGTAGTAAGGGAGTCAGCTACCATCTCTGTTTTGCAGAGATTCAAAGGAAAGTAGAGGAGTGGAAAGGTAAAAAATGGAAAAATGGGAGGCTTCAGGTGTGCCCTGATTAGAGGTTATTGCCTTGGGGAAGCTGTTGGGCTAACTAGAAGTAAGGCATGGTATGTGATTGGTTTTCTCTGTTAGTCCTAAGTTGGAAATGGAGGCAAAGATTAAGGAAGCTATCAGTTATTCATCAAGCCCTGACCATTTTGGGCTAATTACTACAGAGGTTATGGTTGACTTCCTGGGCTGATTCTGCAAGTTGTGGGTCAGAGTTCTATTTTCATATATGACCTAGCCATTGTCCATTTGTATATTCAGTCTCTCAGAACTCAGCCACCATCTTGTGAAGGAGCCCATATGGAGAGGACCTAAGATCTTACAGCAGCCAAAACCAACTTGCCAACTCTGTGAGAGAACCACCTTGGAAGTATATCCTCTAGTCCAAGCCAAGCCTTCAGATGACTATAGTCCCAGCTGACATCTGACCACAACCTCATGAGAGACCTTGAACCAGAACCACCCTGGTAAGCTACTCCCAAACTCAAAACCCACAGAAACTGTGAAAGATAAAAATGATTGTCCTGTTAACCCATTGAGTTTTATGGTGATTTTCTATGCAGCATTAGATAACTCATGAAGGAGAAGAGTGCAGCAGAAAAGGGGCCATACCAGAACCCTCAAAGGTATGGGGCCCAGGATGGGGGGCTTCCATTGCCTGGATCTAAGGGCGGCACTGATGAAAGGATTTTGTTTTGGTACCTAGGTATTTCCTAGGGAAGGATGGGCATATTTATACAAAAGACGGACTTGGAGGACTCATTAGGGGGTTTGAGATCAGGAAATTGTCTTACAAAAGCTATAACAAAAGAGCCTTTTGTCTAGAGTGCACAAACTAAAATGTAATGACACCATTTATGTGCTTGATTGTGTAAACATACAAAAATGTACATATGTTGGAATAGTCACAGTGGAAGGAGATCTGCTTAAGCCAATGATGCTGTCTGTCACTTCCCAAAAACGCCTGTGAAACTTCTCTTTCGGAATTGCCCACAAAGCTGGATTATGAGCTAGCTTCCTGTGAAACCAGACTCATCACTCAAACTGAGACTTGGTTTGTGACCCCAGACAGCATTTCCCAGCTTGATCACCCAACTTACTCAACAGATTTTGCTCTGAATGGCTTAGAATTGTTTCCAAAACTCACATCCCCCCTCTGAGGATACATGTCAGAGTTATCTCTCTAAAACACATCGTGGCTCATGTGCTTCAGTTGCTCTTGGTTGCATAGAGAATTAAGCCCCAACTTCTCAGCCAGATTTGCAAAACTTTCTATAATATACAACCCCCACCTCACTTTCCAGGTCTATCTTCCCAGAATACATGATGCCCTTGCCACTTACAGATGACAAGTGCATTTACTGAGCCCTAATTATGTGCCCTGTACTGTGCTAAGAGTTTTATATCGCATCTCATTTTCTCTTGATATGATTTTGTAAAGTAAATGTTATCTCTGTAGTACAAGTAATAAAACAGTGATCACTAACACTTTGTACACTGCTTACAATGCGCTCACCCACTGTCCAACAGAAATATAATGTGAGCCACCTATGTAATTTAAAATTTTCTGATTATAAATTAAAAAGTAAAAAGAAACAAGTGAAATTTATTTCAATAAAATATTTTATCAATGGGCTTCTAATCAACAAAGACTTATTAATGATATATTTTTTCTTCTTCTTGGGAGGATAGTAAATCTTTTAAATTCACTGTGTATTTTACACCTATAGCATGTCTCAATTTGGACACTAAATTTTCATTGAAAGTAATTGAACTGTATTTAGATTTCATAAAAAGAACAGTGGAAAAATTAGTTTCACATACCCAAGTTGTTCTAAACATACTTAAAAGATTTCTAGGGGTGCCTTGGTGGCTCAGTTGTTAAGAGTCTGCCTTCGGCTCAGGTCATGGTCCCGGGGTCCTGGAATCGAGCCCCACATTGGGCTCCCTGCTCCGTAGGGAACCTGCTTCTCCCTCTCCCACCCCCTCCCTCTCTTGCTGTGTTTCTCTCTGTCAAATAAATAAATAAATAAAATCTTTAAAAAAAAAAAGATTTCTAATATCTGAATCACATACCAAAAATCATTTCTTTTTCTACTCTCATCCATATTGATAAAACTGCTTCAATTTAAAAATTTTAATTTCAATATCAATCAATTAAAATAAAATAAAATAAATTTGTTTTCCAGGCACTAGCCACATACCAACCACTTATTGGCCATATGTGGTAAAGGACTTCTATGTTGGGAAGTACAACTCTGAGCACTTTACTGCTATCAGCACAAATGTAGGAAGTAGATGCTGTTATTATCTTCACTTTAAAGGTAAGGAAACAGAGGCACAGAGGGATAATAACTTGGCCTAGTACACACAACTAATAAGCTGAAGCTGAGAATGGTTGATCTGCCCAATGCAACTTAGCTAATATGGATTGGAGTCAGTATTTGAACTCAGGATTTTTTATGTCCAAAGCCTAAGTTTTTATCCACTGTGTTAGTCTGCTCTACACAGTTAGTTTCTCACTATTCTCCTTAAATCCTTATTTTCTTATTTCTGGTCCTTTTTATCAGATTGTTCCCTCTGTCTGGAATGCCTTGCAAGGTCCATTTTGAGTGTCATTCATTTATCTAGACAGACATGTGATCACATTTTCAGCAAATATTAACAGCCTTTTTTTTTTTTAAGATTTTATTAATTTGAGTGAGAGAGCGAGAGAGAGAGTGTGTGTGTGTGTGTGAGAGAGAGCACAAGTAGGGGGAGGGGCAGAGGGACAAGCAGACTCCCTGCTGAACAGGGAGCCCAATGTGGGACTTGATCCCAGGACCCCAAGATCATGACCTGAGAGGAAGTCAGACGCTTAGCTGATTGAACCACCCAGGTGCCCCGATAGCCATTTTTAAAATATCTCCCATGTAGGATATGGCAGTGATCAAGAAAGATGTAGCCTCTGCCTCCACTGGGCTTATATTCTAGAACAACACATTACAAACTTTGGTCTCAGGACCCTGTAGCACTCTAAATCTAAGGACCACAAAGGGCTTCTAATTATGTGGGTGATAGCTGTCAATGTTTATTGTATTAGAGATTAACACTAGGAAACTTTAAACATATTTATTAATTCATTTAAAAATAACATAATGGGGACACCTAGGTGGCCCAGTCAGTTAAGTGTCTGCCTTCAGCTCAGGTTATGATCCCAGGGTCCTGGGATTGAGTCCTGCATCAGGCTCCCTGCTCAGCGGGGAGCCTGCTTCTCACTCTGCCTGCTGCTCCCCTTGCTTGTGCTCTCTCTGTCTCTCTCAAATAAATAAAATCTTAAAAAATAAAAATAACATAGTAGGAGGTCTGCTAGGAAGATGATGGAGTAGGAGGACACTAAGCTCACCCTGTCCCACACATACAACTAGATAGTGCTCACATCAGTATAAATAACCCAGGAAACATCCAAAGATTGGCAGATAAACTCTACAGCTAAAGGTAGAGAGGAGGCCACATCAAAGAAAGTAGGAAGGGTGAAGATGAGGTCTGGGAGCAAAACAGACTGTGGCTGTCTATGGTGGGGAGGGAGCCAATTGTGTGGAGAAGGGTGGAAAAGAGATTTTCACACTGGGAAGCCCACAAATGGGGAGGATGAATCCCCATAACATTTGCTTTGAAAGCAAGAGGGGCCAAATTGTATGAGTTCTTACAATCAGTGGGACTTAAAGCCTGGAATTTTAAAGATCACTGGGCTACACTCTGGGAGAGCCTGGAGGGCATTAAGAAGCAGAGTCCCCAACCTTAAAGAAGGAGCAGAACACGCAGCCTGTGCAGATACAGCCTAGAACCAGAAGTCTGAAAAATATGTGGCGGGCGGGGGGGGGGGGGCAGATGGGAGGAAGGGTGATTTGCTCATTTCAGAGCATGCCCACAGAGACAGGGATCATGGGGATTCCAGGAACAAGGAGCTTGCAGGTACCATTTCCTTCCCATGCCCCCCATTATAAACAATGGCCACCTGTGGGAACCAGTATGGCATGCCTTACCTAACTTGCTTACACCACGTGCCACTTCCCCCTCCCCCACAACTTACTCCAGCACCGTGGGCCCCTCCCCCACCCCTCCTGGGGACCAAACACTACCCACAATAGGCAAAGAGAGTCTCTGCAGACAACTGGACTGAAGGATTGGCCAAGACTCAACAGCAAAGCACATGCAACACACATATGAGACACTTCATAAAGTGCCAGGCCCTGGGGAACAGGGGACACTGCACTGCAGGGCACTGCAGGACCTCTTCTTCATAAGGCTATTATTGTTAAGAGCAGGAGAAGTAGCTGACTTTGATAGCACACAGAAACAGACACAGGAAGTCAGACAAAATAAGGAAACAGAAATATCTCCCAAATGAAAGAAGAGGACCAAACTATAGCAAGAGACCAAAGCCAAATAGAAATAAGTAATATGCCTGATAGAGAATTTAAAGTAATGATCATAAAGATACTCACTGGACTTGACAAAAGAGTAGAGGACATAAAAAAATAATAAAAAACAATAAAGACATAAAAAAACAATCAGAGATCAAGAATACAATAAATGTAAGGAGGGCACATGATGTGATGAGCACTGGGTGTTATACGCAACTGATGAATTACTGAACTTTACATCTGAAACTAATGATGTACTGTATGTTGCCTAATTCAATTTAAATAAAAAAGAATATAATAGATGAAATTAAAAATACACTTGTTGGAATAAATAGCCGGTTAGATGAAGCAGACGAATGAATTAATGACCTGGAAGGCAGGGTAATGGAAAGTAACAAAACTGAGTAAAGGAGAGGAAAGAAAATTACACAAATTAAGAATAGTTTTAGGGAACTCAGTGATTCCATCAAGCGTAATAACATTTGCATTATGGGGATCCCAGAAGAAGAGAGAGAAAAGGTGGCAGAAACTTTATTTGAAGAAATAATAGCTGAAAACTTCCCTAATGTGCAGAAGGAAACAGATATCCATATTCAGGAGGTCCCCCCAAATTCAACTCAAGGAGATCCACATCAAGAAACATAGTAATTAAAATGGCAAAAAGTAGCTATAAAGAAAAAAAAAAATTAAAAGCAGCAAGAGAAAAGAAGACAGTTACATACAAGGGAAACCCATAAGGCTATCAGTGGATTTGCAGCAGAAACTTTGCAGGCCTAAAGAAAGTGGCATGATCTATTCAAAGTACTGAAAGGGACAAATCTGCAGCCAAGAATACTCTATCCAGCAAGGTTATCATTCAGAATAGAAGGAGAGATAAAGAGTTTCTCAAACAAAAGCTGAAGGAGTTCATGACCACTATACCAGTCCTACAAGAAATATTAAAGGGAACTCTTTGAGTGGAAGGAAAGAACATAAGTGAGAATATAAAAAGTAAAAACCACAAAAGCAGTAAAAATATATATTTCTGTAAAAATCAGTCAAGGGATTCATAATAAAAAAGGATGTAAAATATGACACCATATACCTAAAATGTGGAGAGGAGAGAAGGGTTTAAACTTAAGTGATCATCAATTTAAGTAGAATGCTATATGCAGAAGATGTTATATACAAACCTAATGGTAACCACAAATCAAAAACCAGTAATAGATATGCAAAGAATAAACAGAAAGGCATCCAAGTGTATCACTAATGAAAGCCAACAAACCATGAAACAGAGCAAGAGAAGAAAGGATCAGAGAAAATCTACAGAAATTACACAAAATAAGTAATAAAATGGCACTAAATACATATCTATCAACAATTACACCGAATGTAATTGGACTAAATGTTCTAATCAAAAGACACAGAGTGAAGGAGTGGACTCATCCATATGCTGCCTATAAGAGACTTATTTCAGACTGAAAGACACATGCAGATTGAAAGTGAGGGGATGGAGAAAAATGTATCATGCAAATGGATGTCAAAAGAAAACTAGGGTAGCAGTACTTATATCAGACAAATTAGACTTTTAAAAAAAAGACTGTAACAAGAGACAAAGTGGGCACCTGGGTGGCTCAGTCCGTTAAGCATTGACTCTTAATTTCAGCTCAGGTCATGATCTCAGGGTCCTGGGATTGAGCCCCACTTTGGGCTACATGCTCAGTGGGGAGTCTGCTTGGGGATTCTCCCTCTCCTTCAGCCCCTCCCCCCACTCACATTCTCTCTTTCAAATAAATAAGTAAATCTTAAAAAAACACAAAAGACAAAGAAGGGCATTATATAATAATAAATGGGGCAATGCAACAACATGATATAAGAATTGTAAATATTTGTTCACCCAACATGGGAGCATCCAAATATATAAAACAGTTAATAACAAATGTAATGGAAATAATTGATAGTAATACAATAATAGTAGGGAACTTTAACACCCCACTTACATCAATGGACAGATCATCCAAACAGAAAATTAACAAGGAAACAGTGTCTTTGAATAACACACTGGACCAGATGGATTTAACAGACATATTCAGAACATTCCATCCTAAAACAGCAGAATACACATTCTTTTCAAGTGCACACAGGACATTCTCCAGAACAGATCACATATTAGGCCACAAGAAAAGTCTCCACAAATTCAGAAAAATCAAAGTCATACCATGCATCTTTTCTTTTTCTTTTTTTAAAAGTTTTTATTTCAATTCCAGTTAGTTAACACATAGTCTAATATTAGTTTCAGGTGTACAATTTAGTGATTCAATACTTATATACAACACCCAGGGATCATCATAACATGCAGTCCTTAATCACCATCCCCTATTTAACCCATCCCCCCCACCCCGTGGTAACCATCAGTTTGTTCTCTATAGTTAAGAGTCTGTTTTATGGTTTGCCTCTCTCTTTTTTCCCCATGATCATTTGTTTTGTTTCTTAAATACCACATATGAGTGAAATCATATGATATTTGTCTTTCTCTGATTGACTTACTTTGTTTAGCATAATACTGTCTAGCTCCATCCACATCATTGCAAATGGCAAGATTTCATTCTTTTTTTATGACTGAGTAATATTGCATTTTATATCTATCTATCTATCTATCTATCTATCTATATCTTTTTTATCCATCTTCTTTATCCATTCACAAGTCGATGGACACCTGGGCTTTTTCTATAATTTGACTATTGTTGATAATGCTGCTATAAACACCAGGGTGCATGTATTCCTTTGAATTAGTATTTTTGTATTCTTTGGGTAAATACCTAGTAGTGCAATTGTTGGATCACAGGGTGGTTCTATTTTTAACTTTTTGAGGAACCTCCATACTGTTTTCCACAATGGCTGCACCAGTTTGCATTCCCACCAACAGTCTAAGAGGATTC